TTCATCAGGAAGAAGGAAAAAATGATCACATACCCATCTAGAATAATAATTCTCATGTATTATCAGGAAAGATTGCACCGTGGTTTCACAACCTATTGTTGGAGTAGCAAGTTGGTCAGCAGTCTTTTAAAAAAATTAATTTGATTCTCAACCTTTCCTTAGAGTTGTGCAGTTTGTCTCCAATGACAGAAGTCATCCAAAACTTCTTTAAATTGTCATATGGTCTCTGCAAAAACATTCTAGCTTGGAAAGCAAAATCTAGTTTCATAAAGTTGGATATGTGAGAGTCATGTGTAGATTTTTTAACGGATATTTGGGAAATTTTCATCAGGAATCGATTGTGTGACTATAATGAGAAACTCAGAACTAGTTTGATCCTTTTAAAGATTGTAGACCAAATTGCTTATGCAACATTTGGTTGGAGACCTATAGTACTAATTCAGTATGAATACCTCATTGAATCATTATACTGTTTTTCCTTTGCCTTGGTGACATTTTAGTAAATTGTGGGTATGAAGGTCATTTTTGTTAGGTTTTATGACTCAAATATGATTAGGAGTCTTGTGAGATTGCGTATTTAATTTTTACTTGAAAAGGAAGATTGCATCCAAGTTAAATAAGGAAAGAAAATCATCTCTCGGTCGAAGTTCTATGCGCAATTGTAATCTAATTTTAACATATTTTCTTACCTTTTACGACTCTTCCAGGGTTTGAAACGCGGTCTATAAATACAAATTTCCTCTGTCAGTTTTGTTTTTGCATTATTGTTGTATCTGTAATTTCTCTCCATATTGTCAGTTAATATACATCGTTTCTCTTAACTCTCTTTATTCTTCTTTACTTTTAAACATTTTTTTGTTATGATCTTTATTATTTCAAATTATATCATTAATCTCATTCATTACAATCTCTCTGGGTCTAACAAGTGGTATCAAAGCTTGGTTATTCTTTTGTGGATTGGTCGAGGTTTTTTCTAAAATGACTACCTTGAAATATGACATTTCACTGCTAAATCGCAATACAAGATTTTCTTTGCGGCATGTAAAGATGAGGACTATTCTGATGCAGTTGGATTTGGACGATGCACTGTTGGATTTTGAGAAGATGCCAACTAATTGGATAACGGAAGAGAAATAACGGAGGGATCGGAAGACTTTATCGTTAGATCCATCTTCATTTATCCAATAATATTCTGCAGGATGTCTTGAAAGAGAAAATAGTGACTGCTTTGTGGTTGAAACTGGAGCAATTATGTATGACTAAAAGTCTCACGAGCAAATTAGCTTTAAAGCAGAAGGTGTATTCTCATTGCATGGTGAAAGGAGGGTCACTGGAGGACCTTATTACCGTGTTCAAGGAAAGAGTTGCATGTCTGGAAATATTGAAGGTTAAGTACGATGAAGAGGGTCTGGCCTTGATCCTATTGTATTTGCTACTGGCTCTTATGCATTGTTTCGGGACACCATTTTGTGTGGTCGGGATACTTTTACTATAGACAACGTCTATGATGCTTTGCACTCAAAGGAGAAGTTGAAGCATCTGGTTGGATCTACATCGAGGGAAGAGGAATTATCTCATGGTGGTCGACAGAGGGACATATTGAAGAATAACATCAATTTGTTTTACTTCTACTGCAGACATAAGGGACATATTCGAAAGGATTGCGTTAAGTTGCAGGGTAAAGGTAATTTAGCTGCAAATTGTGGGGTATAACCTTTGACTTCAGATGAAACAAATATAGTTGAGGATTTTTCATATGGCGGAGATGTGATGTTGATCGTGGTATCTGACATGGAATCTAGGCCTAATGAGGAGTAGATTCTCAATTCAGCATGTTCATATGTATTCCGATCAAAATTTCTTTCAAATATATGAGGCTGTTCAGTAAGGTCGAGTTGTAATGGGAAACAATCAGTGTTGCCGTATTGCTTGAATCGGTCGAGTTATATTTAAACTGCGGGATGGGACAATCAAAATAATTGATCAAGTTCGACATGTTCCAGACCTTAAAAAAACTCATCTCGCTTAGTACTCTAGATGCAAAATGGTATAAATTCTCTAGTGAAGATGGAGTATTGAATATTAGAAAGGGAGTTCGGATTGTATTAGAGAGACGAAGAATGTCTCCGTTGTACATCTTGCAGGGGAGCACAGAACCATTTAAGAGACATTTGGACAAGTTTAGTACCATGGTAGATATTTAGTTTTGTACAGTACCTCCTGTGACAAGCTCTAGATCAGTTCATAACATTGCTCGAAGGAGCGTTGATGATTTCACTTTACCATCAATTTCAGTGGTTGCACTATGTTCAGTTGCTAGGGTTGGATCCATTGAGCGTAGGTACTGTAGTGTCAGTGATGTCTATAATGCTTTTGGGGACGTTGAAGGCGACAGTTCTAGCAAGGGGCCTCATGTTTAGGCATTTTGTATGGTTTTTGCTACAGGGTGTGCTTCGACCCTGTTTGATCAACATTAATTCCGTGGTGGAATTTTGGGAACCCGAGAATAGGGGTCAAGTGTCGCTTGTTGACGCCATGCAGAGGACGATGGTTTAGATGGAGAATTTTGGTTACTACGTTGAAGTGATTGGCCATTTCATTTCGATGTAAACGGGTTTATTTCTTAGGTGGAGAAATTTTGTGGAGCTCCGCTCGTTACACCGAAATTTGAGTCAAAGTAGAGATTGTTAAATTTTGTGACTCAAATATGGTTAGGAGTCTTGTGAGATTGCATATTTACTTTTTGCATAGAAGTGAAGATTGTATCCAAGTTGAATAAAAAAGGAAATCCTCTCTCGGTCGAAGTTCTATGCGCAATTGTAACCTAATTTTAACAGGTTTTTTGACCTTTTAAAACTCTTTTAGGGTTTGGAATGTGGCCTATAAATACAAGGCTCATTTATCAGTTTTGTTTATGCACTATTGCTTTGTCTGTAATTTCTCTCCATATTGTCAGGTAATATACATCATTCCTCGACGATTAACTCTCTTTGTTCTTCTTTACTTTTAAACTTGTTTCTTATTGTGATCTTTATTATTTCATATCGTGTCATTAATCTCATTCATTACAATTCCTCCGAATCCAACAATTTTTGATTCGCATGATGAAATATTGTGCAAGAATCTGGAGATGCAGGTCAACAGGAGAGAGAAGATAATTGACCTGCAATGGCTACATGTGAGTGAAGCTATTTATGTCCTCAAGTGTGAGCTTTCTGTACTGAAGGACGTTGCCAAGTTAGCAGACCAATGATTGCTCTACATATGTGTCAGGACATGTCACCACACAAGGGGTTCACGTACTCCTGTTAGACTTCTTGCTACTGTTCAGCACTACCTACAAGAGGAGGAAGGCCACGACTACGCCGAGCCACAACTGGACTCCTTCGAGTTGTGGTATACTGAATCAAGATAGTATAGGAGTTTTTTTTTTTTTTTTTCCACACAACATGCCTATAAATTCAATAAATGAATCACAAAAGAAAAAAAAGAAAAATGGGAAAAAGGGAGAACGCAAAAATCTTGCAATATTAATGCATTGTCGGCTAATGGTAGAAATACTTCTTTTCTAGCTCTCAATGCTTTTGCACATTACCCGTATATTGTAATTTTTTTATTTACATTTTTTAATAGAATTTATTTACTTGATGGCTCAATTTTCACCAAGCATCTGGAGTATCTTTAGGCATTGGGGTTTTGTACTTCACAGTTTTTCGTCGTTTTGCAAACTGTGCGTTGTTAAAATAATATTGAGACGACTTCACATAACACAATACAATTTGTAAATAAATTTATTTATCATCGTTGGTTAACACTTTGTTATAAAAAATAAAAATAAAAATTGCATATTGATTCAGTATGAAAAATTAACAAATAACAAGTACAAAATTAAGGGTTTCTTGAAGCACTAGAATACATTACTATGGATGACTACTATTTAGTAAAAATATATCTTGTAACTCTTATAACTACTCATTTTTCAAGTTTTATAAATTCCAATATTTTAAAATCCAAAATTCATTTCAGTTTAAATTTTTGTCGATTTTGATTCTCAAATTCAATAATTCAATTGTCCAACAAAAAGCAACTTTATAAGCTTTAAGCTTTGGCAAGAAAATTGAAGTTCACATTAGAAGTTTAAACTATTAGAGCTTTCAATAATCAACATCTATATTGGAATAATACACTCTTGCATATTTTTCAAGCACCCGATTATATTATTTTAATCACAGAAAAAATTTGAAATATGAATATTAAAAAAAGTTAATAACATAAAAATGGAAAAATTTTATTGTAAATCAAGTGCAAATTTGGAAGCGACAAGAAAATTATCGCATATTCTGTGCCAACTCACAATCTAGTACATGTTTCTCAAAACTAAGAACATCCTGAGGTAGAGATTTTGGAATCAAGCTCCGTGTCAAAAAAGTTGACTTGCTCGGATGGACTGATATTGATCTTTTGTTTACCCTGTGCTAACGGGTAGGATACAAATGGAATTTATCAAAGTAGATTCTCAGCAACTATAGGTTCTTCTTATTCAAGTTTCAAGTTTTAAAGGTTTTTCAGACAACAAAAAGCTTGGATGGTCGATTTTATTTCTACTCGAGGTTTAAAAGCCATTGTGATGCATTTCCAAAGTTTCCAATGCCTGATTTTTCTATCCTTTTTTTTTTTTTTAAATATAATGTAGTGTGCATGACTATAGTTAAATTGTCATAATGTGTTTGATATAATGCCACTGTTAGTCATAAAAAAAATAAGCCTTTTTATTGTTTGCTTGGTAACGTAAATTATACAGTTATAGACAGTATTATTGAAGATTGTGGTGTTGAAAACTCCTCTATTGTATTGTCCTGTGCTGTGTAGTAAGCACTTACTAAATTTGATATTGCAGGCGCATTTGCAAGTATGTGAGAAGCAAGCTTAAAATGGCTGGCAAATGTGTGTAAAATTTTCTTCTAGGAGCAAAGCATTTTCGAATTAGGCAAAACCTAGGGATGCATTTGAGACTGGTGTATTATCATTCAGAAGAAAGACCCTATGAAGAAGGCTTTCTGAATGGTATGAGAAGGCTTTCTTAAAGCCAACAAAAATGAGTCAATTGTTGAAAAATGTGGATTTGATTAATGGAAGAATAATTAATCTCAATGACCATTAAAGAATTTTCGACTATAAGCTGAAGCACAAAGTGCAAACATTCAAGTCTCTTGTTAGAGCATTTATTGGGTGTTTTTCGGTTCAAAAAACAATGAGGAAGAACTTGATGGCCTCATTTGCTAATAATCCACGATGCAGAGAATTTTAGTGCTTCACTAAACCAAGGGAAAGGGATCCGATTATTTTGAGTTCACTAACTAAAGTGGTTGACATTTTGAACATTTTTGCATAGCAAAGGAATATCGTGAGGCATATAATATGCCCACAAGTGACACAACACCAGATATGGACCAGTGTACTTGAGGAGGTATTGAATGGATTGAAATTTGAGATTGGTTTTTCCGATTCATTGTTGCACAAGTAAAGAGATTAACTTGGCACAATAAATAGTTGTGAGTTGTATGAAGTTATTAGATTCTGCTATATTTCCTGACCCAGAGTCAACTTCATGGATGCGCCTCATGCCTACAAAAGGCAAGGATTCATCTCTTTCTCACAAATGGGAAGATGTTCATGAGACGTTAATTGATCTTACTACCAGCTTAAGTGAAGAAAAGAGATTAATTTTGCATGTTACGGAGCTTGAGGTCACGAAAGAAGGGCTTTATCAGATTAGGGATGTCTTGATGGATAAGAATATTGGATATCGAGAGGTTCAGTGTTAAGAAAATTTAGTGCAGAAGAAATTGACTAAGGCATTAGGTCATTCATCTCTGTGTTTGTTTACCCTTTTGTTGTACTATCTTTACGGCTATGTGAAAGACATTGAAGTAGACATTAGAGGGGGAGTTTATAGACTTGATGGTGAGAATAAGTTTTGCTTATATATGGGGAAGATTTTGACATCGGATGAGGACAAGGTGGTTCGGATTGGGGTAAAGCAACTAGATAGCGCTCTTGGGGTGTTCAAGTTTGTGATGGAAACAGCAGGGATGAAAGGAGATATGGTTCTGCAAGGCCATTTGCGGTGTGTTGGAACTGAGAACAGGTTGTTCCCATATAGAGGAAATGCATACTTATTACGTGGAATTAATCTTTGATGTAAGATGCAAAGTGAGAAAGAGTGAGATATTCTTTAAATTACATGTAGATGTAACTTAAATTGAGCGTAAACACTATAATCTTTGTGCTATGCTTTGCTTGTTTTATGATTTTCATTTTGTTTAGTATGGCTCTAGTTAGAAGGGCCTCCTATCACATTCAATAATGTATAAAGACATTAGTAGGGCTGTGTGTGGCAGACAACAATTGAAAACATAGACCTGGTTTGTTGCGGCCTTTTTTAAGTTTCCGTTTGGTTTTGTTAAAAATCAGATGATTAGTAAGTTTTGATGAAATTTGTTATTGAAAAATTGATTAAAATTATTGGTCCGAAGAAATGTGAGGCTAAAACTAATTGTTAATTTTGATTTAAATTTTATTAATTTTTTTAGCTGTGCCCAACATGGGATAAGAAAATAAAATATTAAATTTTGGTTTGAGAATGAAAGTTGAGGGTTTAGTTGTTATAAATAACATGTCATTCTATGATTATAAGGCATATTCACGGTTCAAACTTCAAGTTGAGAAATTCAAAGGTGGGAGACATAGAAAAAAGCTTTAAAAAAATAAAAATAAAAAGAACATGCTTGTGATGTACCTTTACTTCAATTTTGTTAAAAGATGAAATTGATAGTGTGAGGAAAATATTGCTAGAGGAATCATAATTAATTCGTGTTTTTTTTTTTTTTTTAAATTTCTGGCTCAATATCAAAAAGTTGTTTGATTGGTTATAAACAATTAATAAATGTTAGCCAAACACAATTTTTGTGCGAGCATAAGGATGGTAAATTACTAATAAGGACAATAAAACAGGGATTGACTAGTAATTTTAATGAAATCTAGGTCCATTTTAAGACGAGCAAGTACAAAAATCATCTACTGACAGCTACATAATTTGTCAAAAGAAGGGTTAACTGGCAACAACCGATAACCCACCAAGAGATGTACTCAACTTATTTGCTACCCGTATGTACTAAAAAGTACAAAAAACAATGATTGACGCTATTTAGCTCTCGTTCCCCCGCACCCCATTTTTTAAAATTTCAACTGTTAGAATATTAATATTTGTAAAACTATATGGTTGAAGCTTATAATTTAGTAATTATTTCCCAAAATTTTAACGGTTGTACTACATTTATATAATGATTTATATATACATGATGTTAGGGGTGACAATCAGGCTCATCGACTTGAGTTGCCCTCGTTGGAATAGGGTCGAGCTCCAGCTCAAAACTTCAACATGTGTTCCATGATATTAATGCAGTGAACGCCAATCATAAGTTGAGAAAAATATATTGGCTGCACTCACCACAGACCAAAAACCCAGTTAACAAGGAAGCAATAGGTCAAAAAAACTGATTTGCCAGAAACAGGACATTGTTAACTATGATCCTAACTTACACGATCTTCATGACATAAGGTAACCCTGTTTCTATCCTTTTCATCAGTAGGCTTATTTTGTTAATACGCTTGTCATAGGTTTCATTAAAAATAAGCCACAATGATCAATTCTCCAGAAATTCGCAGAGTCACATGCAACACCGAAAAGATGAAGGCAGTTTAAAATGCTTCATTTTTATTTGAAATCTCACTTAGAAAGGTCAATTTAATACTTTTACTTACCTCATATGCCTTTGGTGATTCTAGACATAAGCAGAAACTTAAAATTCAAAGAGAAGTCACCATTATTACTAATTAGACTTTTGCCTAAGAAAAGTTAACAAGAGAAAAAGGAAAATCGATAATAATTGATCAAAGTGAACAGGGTCCTCGAATAATATGCACTTATGAAATGCAGCATAAAAATAGTATACCGTCAAATGAATGCTTCAATAGTTCAACACACATAAACATATACCATATACGTATATATATGCGTATTCATCTCCATTCAAGGTATATAAAAGCTTATGAAGCTCTGAAATAACACATTAAAAAACCAAGAAAAAAATCGTAATACAAGTTTGGAGCAAAAGACTTACCGGGTAGGTAAAGAGAGGACGATTGCACTGAAAATCCTGGTAATTGGATTAGCTTGCATTTCTACACCTTCAATACCTAATTCAGAATCGAGAATAACAATTTCTTTCCAAATATTTGCATCAGAAAAAAATGAGTGATTTGAGCGAGAGTAGTACACGATTTTCGTCGGGACTGGAAAGGGACTACAAGTGGAAACACACTTATGTGCCACGTGTCACTCGGAACGACATAGTTGAATTTATAAAAAAAGTTAAGCCCAACCTTAAGGCTCCTCACCGCCCCACACCTGGAGTATAGTGAGAGAAGTTAATTACGGGATGTGCTCCAACAGGTCAGAGAACAAGAGTTGTCTGTACTCTAGTGCTCACAAAGAGTCTCAATCCATATTTCAGGAATCGAACCCTTATATTACTGCGGTAAGTAAGGTTGAGTATATCTCATCATTATTATTTGCACCATTGAAATATGCCTCGTGGGCACATAGTCGTATTTATAACTACGACCCCGTTTGGTTTACATAAGTTAAATTTTTGGTAGATTTTAATAAAAATTTATGAATTGTATTGTTGATAAATTGTAATCTTATAAAATGTGTTATTAAAATTAATTGTTGATTTTAGTTATAATTTTAATTTTAATAAACCTTTTTACTTGAGCTAAATAGAAGCTATATTAAATTTTTAGGATTATGCTACTTGTACATGAAAATAATACATAAAAATTACATAAAATGACGTGAACTGAAAAAGTTGATTGTGTTTTAAACTGACAAATGATAAAATGACAGGAACACCACGTAAATCCTCCATTTAAAAATCACATTTCAAAACTAACAAATTTCTAAAAATCTTTCAAAAATCAGTTGATAATTAAATTTATTAAATACTAATTATAATATAGTACAATTAATTTACTTATCCACCCCACCTTACCTCCAACCCCACCCACCCATCACATCAAACCCTTTTACTCACCCATCACATCAAACCTTTTTACTCTTTCTCCACCCCACCCCACGCCACCTCTGGTGACGGCTCCGACAACAATTCCGGCAACTATTCCAATGACATTCCGACGACCTCCCGACGATGCTCCGACAACCATTCGACGAATATTCCGATCATCCATCACTTTTCCGACAACAACATTTTTTCTTCTTTTTTAGCAATGACCTGTTACCAGTTTTATTGAATCTGTGACCTAATTAAGTGGAATGAATATGCATATGATTAATTTCAATATTAAGAAATAAAGTTTGAAATTTCACATGTTATCTGTGACCATACCTGTGTTATATGTGACCAATTCACTGACTTTTGTTATCTGAGAATCACCGTGACCAACTTTGCCTTCGATGTGACTAATTGTGGCCAAATTTGTATTCATTGTGACTTTATGTGACCAAATCAATCTCAAGTCACACCCGGTCACAATCAATACAAAATTGGTCATAAATAGTCACAACCAAATTTCGAACAGAAAAAACTAGCTCTCCAACCACTACAGCGGATCTGTTCGGAAAAATAATAACCACCACCACCACTACTAACATCTTTAACTCAAATTGATGACCATAAACACTATATTCACCTCAAATCCACAACAATCATCACTACCATAACTTCCACAAATCCTTCAAAAACACCAACCAGCACCACCACACTTCTCTTGTGAAACTCCGGTGAGAGAAGTGGTAGGTGGTCGGAATCTAGAGGATGGGTGGGAAAGAAGTCCTAGATCTGATTTCTGGGTAAGAGAGTGCCAACCTAATTTTCAAGGGAAGAAATAGAGTGTGTGGGTTAAAAATTGATACAAAATCTAGGATAAATTGATACGGGGTCTGTGACCAAGTTTGTATTCAATGTGACCGTCTGTAATCAGATCAATCTCAAGTGACAACCGATCACAATTAACACAAAATAGGTCACAAATAGTCACAACCAAATCTCGAAACAGAAAAAACTAGATCTCCAACAGCAGATCTGCTCGAAAAAATAATTACCACCACCACTACTAACATCTTTAACTCAAATCCACAACAACAATCATCACTACCATAACTTCCACCAACACCTTCAAAAGACACCAACCAATTAAATCAAAATTAGAAAAACATGCGCACACAATCGAATCAAAATTTTGGTTTAATTGATAGAAACCCATGGCTGCAATAGTCGCAAAATGGGGGTGGTGAAATTATAGGTGCAGATTTGTTGTGATGGGTCCCATCAATGACGCTTGACTTTGAAATTTCTGAGATTTGTAATTTAGAAATCTTCCATTTTTATCAATCCTGGAAGACACTGGAGAGGAAGAAGAGAGAGAAAAAGTTTAATTTGAGTGATGGGTGGTTTTGGTTGGGGGAAGATATAAAACATTTTCTATTATTAATTATATATTAATTAATTTAATAATTTTTAATTACCACCTGATTTATGAAATGAAAATTAATTCCCTTTATTTCTGAAAACTATTGTTTAAAAGTAGATTCTAGGTAATTTTCTCTTTAATAAGCGAAAGCCAGAGAGCCAAGCCAAAGCCTAAGCCATTTGACGTGTACTGACTACCGGTTCATCCAGTAAAAATGTTTATTTTAATTAATTGCCCAAGAAAATGATGAAAAGACAAAGCTTGTAATGAAAATTGAAGGGGGAGAGGAAGAGAAAGAGATGACCAATTGATCGAGGCTAATTCTTGCCAATGCCCCTCTTTTTCTCACACTCAAATTGCCCTTGAATATTTTTTCAAGAGTTTTATTCAATTATAAACTAAACCCACATTATATATTACAGATCTCGATTGTATACTGGTAATAATATCAATAATAGTGTTGTAATTTAGAGGAAATGGAGGCAACTGCTGGAATGGTGGCTGGATCTTACAAAAGGAATGAGCTTGTTAGAATCCGTCATGATTCTGATAGTGCAGTATGCTTTTGGAAAAACCCATTTCGATTTTTAGTCCTAATTTACAGTATTTTTCTTTATTAGTTGGAATTTTGTGTTTACATCTCAGG